TTTCATGGCGCGGGGGGGTCAAACCAGAGCGCGTCGGCCGCTGCTATCGCATCGCATCCGGCGATCGGGGGGGCCCAGTGGGCCCGCACCAAAGGTCCCTCTGGCGGAGGGTCACTCGTACGCCTAGCCAATAGAGGGCCACTGGGAGAAAGAAACCCAGGCATGCTCGCGCCAAGAAAAATCAGGACGGGCATTTTCTTTCCGTTTTTGGCCCACGGGGGGACCTCGCTGGGCTGGACCCCATGGGACCGTCAAGAACCGACTCAGTAAAACCGGTCCCAAGGAAAGGGCCTGGACTTCCGGGGTAGGGGGCAGAGGTGGGGTGGGATGATCATCGCTCCAGTCGGTCCCTGGGACAAGGAACTGTGAGCACCCAGCCGGGCCCACTCCTTAACCCCACCTTGGGTGACCCCCCCCCCTCCTCCTCCTCCTCCTCCTCCTCCTCCTCCTCCTTATCCTCCTCCTTCTTATCCTCCTCCTCCTCCTCCTTCTGATCCTCCTCCTCCTCCTCCACCTCTTCCTCCTCCTCCTCCGCCTGATCCTCCTCCTCCTGTTTGACGTTGGGCGGATTTTCGCAATGGAGCTGTGGCGCTCATGCGGCAAATGGTGACAGAAAAATAATCCTGACGAAGGACCTGAACATATGCAGTTGTGAGTACCGACGTTGCGGGTATCGTCTTCGGGTGATCTCCTCATGGGGCCATGAAGCATGCGAAGGGTGTGAGGCCGCCATGTGGGCGCTGCCACTGGTGCTTCAAGCCCAACCCACTACGGGGCCGCGAAACGTCTGAGGGGTGCGCCGCAGTGGGGCGGGGCCGCCACTGGGGCCTTCCGTGGAGTGGGGCCCCCCATGTGCCACGAAACGCTGCACTGGGTGGGGTGAACGCATGCGAACACCGCCACTGGGGCCTTCGGTGGAGCTCCATATGGGGTCACGAAACGTTGCGCTGGGCGGGGGGAACGCATGCGAACACCGCCACTGGGGCCTTCGTTGGAGCTCCCTATGGGACCACGAAGCGCTATATTTTGGATGGAGCTCCCTATGGGGCCACGAAACGTGTGAGAGGTGTGCCGGGATTGACTGCGGGGACGCATGCGAACGGCACCATTGGGACCTTGGATGGAGCTCCCTATGGGGCCACCAAACGTGTGAGGGGTGTGCCGAAACCGACGGCGGGGACGCAGGCGAACGGCACCACTGGGACCTTAGATGGAGCGACCTATGGAACCACGAAACGTGTGAGGGTTGTGCCGACGTGGATGGCGGGGACGCATGCGAACGGCACCACTGGGGACTTAGGTGGAGCTCCCTGTGGGGCCACCAAACGTGTGAGGGGTGCGCCGACATGGCACCATGTGGTCCTTGGGTGGAACTGCCCTATCGAGCCACGAAACGTCTGAGATGTGTGCCACAATTGGTGGCGAGGACGCATACGAACGGCACCGTTGGGGCCTTAGGTGGAAATCCCTATGGGGCCACGAAACGACTGAGGGGTGTGCCGAATTCGGCGACGAACTGTGCGATGGTGATGACTACGACGGTGACGGCGATGACGCTAATGATGCTGCTGATGACGATAATGACGATGACGACAACGACGATGACGATTGGGATAACGATGATCATGATGATGCTGATGCTGATGAGGATGATGATGATGCTGATGATGACGATAATGACGATGACGATTGTGATGATGGTGGTGATGGTAATGATGATGGTGATGATTATGATGATGCTGGTGCTGATGATGGTGATGACGATGGTGATGATGGTGATGATGATGGTTATGATGATGCTGATGATGCTGATGATGATGACAGTGTTGATGATGATGATGACGATGATGATGATGCTGCTGCTGATGATGATGATGATGATGATGATGATGATGATGATGATGATGGTGGGGGGGAGGGGGAGGAGGAACGCGGGGCGCTCTCTATTCAAAACGTGGACGCAACACCACAGGATGGTTGTGGGAGAAACGCCTGAGTGCAGAGAGAAACGGCATAAGCGGAGCGCCAGCGAGGGCAGGAGTACTAGATCTGCAGGCGTGGGCAACGAAGTCCACACCCCCACATCCCCAGACCCCCGACGTCATGATTTTTCACGACGTGGCCCCCAGAGGCCTCGACCCATTCCCCAGGACTGGCTTTCATCCTGAGTCCGCGCGGCGTCTCGGCAGTTACCCGTTCCCGGCGCCCACGAGCGGCAGCGCGAAAAAGGGAGTGCTGTCGACGAGAAAGGGAGAGGATGAGAGAGAGAGATGAGCCCCAAGATGGCCGTGGAGGGTCCGAAGAGGCATCCTGAGTTGTTGCTTGACGGTCCCGAGGCCCGAAGGCCGCAAATAGCCAAAAGCCCCCCGCCGTGTTTTTGTCGCGACGCGAACATGTCTGGGTCCTCCTCCTCCTCCTCCTCCTCCTCCTCCTCGCCCTCCTCCTCCTCCTCCTCCTCCTCCTCCTCCTCGTCGAGCCCCTGGCCTGCGACCTCGGCCGCCGCTCGCCTCCGCCGCGCCGGCGCGCCTCCGCCGCGCCCGGCTCGGGCTGCGGCGCGCCGGCCGCGGCGGCGGGGCCCGCCAGCGCGAGCCCGCCCGTGCCCTACGACGACGACGACGACGACGACGACGACGACGACGACGACGACGACGATGACCCGCTCTCTGGCCAGCACTTTTTGTCAGTCGAAGTGCGACGCTGGCGATTTATCATGCGGGACCCCGCGCACACGCTGGATAGCGCAAGCGCAGGCACAGAGACTGAAATCCACAACAAAAAGTATGTCGAGGCGAGGGCTGGCTTTGGGCGGACAGAAAAAGGCTTGAGAGACAGTGTCCATGGCGATCGTCAACATTACCAGTGACATTAGCATGACCCGCTCTCTGGCCAGCACTTTTTGTCAGTCGAAGTGCGACGCTGGCGATTTATCATGCGGGACCCCGCGCACACGCTGGATAGCGCAAGCGCAGGCACAGAGACTGAAATCCCGTAATCACGCCATTCATATGCAGTAAGCTGGCTAAGCAAGAAAATTCACAATTGGCTGAGCGTGGCCACAGCACGGCGATGGACTACATGAATGAGAACATCGCCGATGAAGTTAGAAATCACAGGGGGGTATGGCTCCGCAGCCTTCGAGAGCCATTTACCCCCCATCTTCCCACGGATGTGCACATGTTTACGGCCAGTGAACGAACAGAGCCCACCGCGACCATGGCAACGCAGGTGTGGGGCCTCGACCGTGCCGCAATGCTGAAAAACGAGCTTGGTCCTTTTGCGCATGGGCCCTCCAGCAGCACAGAAATCCACATCGACCGCGGAGCCTCGAGCGAGAGCTCGGCGCCGCGAAGGAAAACACCAGAGAATGGAGGTTTGTGGGTTCTCCTCGCCGCAGCAGATGCCCAAGTCCCAGGCGAGCTGCTGGAGGCGGCCTCCAGAGTCAATAAGACTATTAGCATCGCGCACCTGGGCGCGGTGGCGAGCAGACAAGTCAGGCAAGCCACGGTAGTGCTCAGACGATCTCAGCGGCGGCGGCATGCGACCTGACTTGTCCGTGCGGGCACGAGTAGTGGTGATGCACGGAGTCGCAAACCAGAGGGCCCACACCAAGCCCGCGCGCAGCCAGCCTGCGATGGTGAGCACGACCTCGCGCCGGCTGAGGTCAAACTGCGGCCCTTGCAGCTTGTCGAAGGCGATGCAAGCGTAGCCCTTGCGGCGCAGGTACCTGCTCACCGGCGCAGTGCCAGCGAAGAGGTCTACGAAGACGCTGTGCTTCAGCATGGTAGCATCTGCACGCGCCGCACGCAGGCTGGCAGCAAGAGCCGGGCCAGCTCGCGCTCGCGGCGCTGCGCCTCCTCGCGCAGCTGCGCGGGGATGCGGTGCATCATCGAGCCCAGCCCGGCATGCTTCTCGTAGCGCCGCACGCTCTGGAACGAGCGCCACCCGCCCCTCTTCTGAACGTCGAGGAGGGCCCGCGAGCGGGAGGACACGTCCTCCGAGGCCCCCCCGTGACGGAGGGAGTGCGGCGTCACCTTCAGCTGCGCCAGGCCCAAGCCGAGGAGGCAGCTGTTCCAGACCAGGAGGAAGTCGGTGTAGCAGAACATGAAGAGCCGCTCCCGCCCCCCCCCGTTGGCCTTCAGCAGGCGCAGCGCAGGCTCCGGCAGGCGGTGCCGCGGCAGGTCCAGGGCGACGCTGGTGTCGAACTCGCCGGTCTTGCCAAGCACGTCTAGCTCGCTCGCACGGATCAGGGTGGCCCAGAAGCGGCATGCCCCCCTCTCGCCCGGCACGGGCGGCACCAGCTGTAGGCCGAGGAGGCTGAGCGCCTCGCTCGGCCGCTTGTACGTCTCGAACGTCAGCAGCAGGAAGAGGGCATAGTCCGCCTTGCCGTCGGCGCAGAGCCGCAGGGCCATCAGCACGGCCAGCGACCGAGGGACTGGCGGGCGCGACAACGGCTTCTCGAGCCGGCGCCAACCAGTGACCGCAGCAGTCGCCAGCGGCAGGCCCCGGCGCAGCGGGCGCGGCAGCTCGGGCAGCGCCCAGCGCACTGCGGCCAGCGTGCTGGCGGCGTCCCCCTCGGGCAGCCCGCGGTCGTGCAGGAACTCCACGTGCTGCTCCAGCAGCAGGTCCCGCTCGCACGCGGGAAGGCGCTGGGGGGCTCTGGACTCGTGCATCCACGCCAGCAGCTTGCGCAGGGCGTTCAGGTAGTTGCCCTGCGTCGTCGGCGTCACGGCCGCGGCGGCCAAGGAGCTGATGTGGAACCCCAGCACCTCCGCCTCCTCCGAGCTGCGGGCGGCAGAGTGCAGCGCTGAGCCCGGGCGCCGCCGCGCCGTCTCGCGGCGCTGCCGGCGGGCCGAGCCAGTCTCCCCGCGGTAGGGGACCAGGCGTCCCGGCGCAGGATGGCGGCCCAAGCCCAGGGGGCCAGCAGAGGCCAGCGCGCGGCAGGGCAGTCGGCCCGAGGCCAGCGCGGGCTGCAGAGGGAGCGGGCTGGCAGGGCAGGCGTGGCGGCGAGGCAGGGCGATGCCCTCCAGCCGCGGCCTCCCGCCGGCCACGCCGCCATCCGTCTCCGGCGCCACCGGGGGGCGCAGCGCCCGACTCGGGGCAGACGGGGCCCGGCTCGGCCTCTGGCTCGGCGCTGGCACCAGCGCCCTGCAGAGCAGCGGGCTCGGGCCCGGGGAGCCCCGCGGCGAAAGGCCCCGCAAAGGCCCGCCGCTTGGAGCGCCCAGCCGCGAGCTGCTCGCGAAGCCCAGCAGCGCCCGCTGGCCCGTGGAGCCGCGCCTCGGCGAGCGCGATCGGCCGAGGGAAGGGCGAGTCGCCGCAATCATCCTCGAGCCGAGGCGGCGGCTGGCGACCGAGATCAACGTCCGCTGGGCGATCCGCTGAGGGGGCAAGTGCGGTGTGAAAGTGACGAGCATGATGAGACGAAGATGGGTCGCATCTCCTGCTGGGCTCCTCCGCCGAGTTCCACTCCGAAGGAATCCACCGAAAAGAAACACGTGCTCCGAGGGCCAAGCTCATGGCGCAAAACTCGCGGCACCTCCGCAGCAGGTACCACGACGAGCTCCGCCCCTTGCACGAGGTGAGGACCCAGGCCATTGAGTCAGACAAAACTAAGTGCCGCTTCTGGGCGCTCGGGCGGCTGCGGGCCAGCCGCCGAACCTGCCACAGGGCTGCCTCCGCCTCGAGCGCGAGGATCTTGTCCTTGCGCCTCCAGCGGCGAGCTGCCACCACGCCCCAGTCGCCCCCGCGCGCCGGGGCCGACGGCACCTCCTCGAAGGCGGAGCGCAGCCCCAGCGCACGCAGCTGCTCGGACGAGGCGTCGACGATGTCGCTCAGCGAGGGCTCAGCCTTCTCCCCCTCGACCAGGCAGCGCGGGCGGCGGGAGGTGCGCAACGCCCCTCGGTACCGCCCCCGCTCTGAGGCGCGGCCAACGCGGCCCACCTCGGCGGGGGGCCAGGCCTTCTCGGTGACGCCAAAGCCATGCAGCGAGGCGTCGACCGAGGCGACTGCGGGAGACCAGGGCAGGCTCATGTCGGCGACGGCGAGCGGCAGCAGCGCCCAGGCAGCTCGGAGCTCGCGCCGCACAGAGGCCCACACGCGCGCCGGCTGCCCGAAGTAGCGGTCGGCGAAGACGTACACGGCCGAGAAGATGGACAGCATCTCTGGCCGCAGCAGCTTGATGGCCGAGGCATGGCCGACGGCGCGAGCAATCTGACGCCCCGTGCGGCGCTGACGACCCCAGCCCAGAGTGCGGAGGGCCAGCGCGACCTTCCAGAACTTCCTCGCCGTCGGCCGCCACTGAGTGCCCGTCGAGTCCAGCTCGAACCCCAGCAGCGGTGCGCCGGCAGGCTCTGGCGAGGCGTCAACTCCAGCGGCCGCCACGGCGCCCAGCATGTGCTCCAGGCGAGCGTTCGCCTCCGCGGCGCTCGTGCCAAGGGCCGCGAAATTGTCGATGTAGATGAGCGAGGCCCCCGAGCCAGGGCAGACGGGCTCGCGCGGCACGTACTGGGCCAGCCAGCGGTCCGCCGGGGCACAGGGGCGAAGGATCTCCATCATGACATGCTGTATGAAGTAGACCGCCCATGACCAACCCATCGGCACCACTCTGAGGCGCAGGCGCACCAAGCCGTCAGGCGGGCGCGCCCCAACCAGCTGGCGAGCGGCGAGCGGCAGTGCGGCCCAGGGCACAGGCGGCAGGCCGAAGGCCTCACGCAGGTGCACTGGCAGGAAGAACTGGTAGAAGCAGCACGTGACGTCGCCCTGGGCCACGAAGAGGCGCTCCCCCGCCTGCAGCTCGATGCTGCCGAGGGCCTGCGCCGCTGCCAAGGGGCGTAGTCGGGCTCCGCGAACTCCGTGTTCGAGGCCCTGGCGTCGAAGATCAGCCTGAGGGCCCCGTCCTTCTTGTAGACGAAGAAGGGCGCCACCTGTGAAAACGAAGTGCCAACCTCGAGCATGTCACGCTCGAGGAGATCAGCCAAAAACTTCCCATAAGTGCGAGGATTGCTTGCCAGCCTTCGATCAAAAGCCAATTTTGCCAACGAAGAAAAAGATGTGGAGCCCCTCGTCAGCAAGGTGCCAGACTCACCCATCAGCAAAGAGCGGGGCCCCGCCGGCAGCGCAGCAGCTAGCTCCACCGCGCCAGAGGCCACGCGCGGAAGTGAGACCTTCCCGCGCTGGTAGGTGGCGTACTTCCCGCTGGCCATGTCGTCGAATCCATAGCCAGGATCGGAGCCGATCACGGCGCGCGTGGCCGAGTCGGCGGTCAGGTCCGTCGGGCAGCTGGGCACGGCGGCGTAGGAGCTGCGAAGCCGCTCCAGCGCGTCGGTCTGGGGGCCAGAGGCTGCTCCAGCCCGCCGAACAGCGCCGCGCCCGCCCATCTCATTGAGGGTCTGCAGTCCTGCCGAGAGCCACTCCGAGCCCATCGCATCCCCATGGCGCGGTACAGGCGAGGTGGGCGCTGGCAGAGGCAGCAGGTCCCTGGGATCTGCCGCAAGACCTGGCGGCATAGCGGCGGCGCGAGCGCTCAGCCGCCTCCCCTGGTGGTGTAGAAGCGGCGCCCAGCCGGGGGGGCTCCGGGGCCGCTGCAGGATAGCACGGGAGTGGGAGGCGTCAGCCCTGCCCCCCCGAGCCAGCGCCCGGGGTGCCAGTCTGGCCGTCCTTGCCCTTCTTGTTGTCCTTGAGCTTCTTCTTGTGGTCGGCGCCGAACGTCTGGCCAGCGCCGCCGCCGCCGCCGCCGCCGCCCGAGGCCGCCGCCGCCAGAGCCCGCTCCTCGCGGCCCTTGCGGCGCTCCTTGAGCACGGCAGCCTGCTCCTCCATGCGCTTCGCCACCCAGCGCTCCAGCTCGGGCGAGATGAGGGCGTAGCCCTTGGCGCGGTCGCCGCCGAGGAACAAGTGCCTCTCGGCCGCGAGCCCCGCCGCCACCGAGCCCTCCGTGGAGGCGCGGATCCGCTCCTGGTACCGCTCCTCCCAGAGCTGGTAGCGGCGGGACATGCTCTCGAAGCAGGCCAAGTTGCAGATGTTGAGCTGGTCGTACTGCAGCCCGTGCTGGAGGCACTCCGAGAGGAAGAGGTGCTCGTCGATCCCTGGGTCCGACGAGGTCGCCCCGAGCGCCTGCCTCCACCAATGGTGGCGAGGCACTGGGGCCATGCCGCTGTTGGCGAAGGCCTCGATGAGCCACTGCACCGTGCGGGGGCCCTCCACAGGCCAGGCGTCGTCCAGGACCTCCTCGCGCAGCAGGTGACGAGCTGACTCGAAGCTGCGAGTGCGCTCCCCGCGCACGTTGTACTCGACCGCCAGGGTGCGAAGGTCCTCCGCTGCAGCCGCCTCGCCCTCGCCCGCTGGCAACGGCGTCGGCGGGTCGCGGCAAAAACGGTACCACACTCCCTCACGGCACAGCAGGGCCTGGCCCGAGACGCCGAAGGCAATGTCCGAGGGGCGGATGGTGACGCTCTCCCCGCGCCTGCGGGCGCCCTGGTTCTCGCCAACGAACCACTCGGAGCCCACGAGGCAGGTGTGGGCCGCCAGCGAGCCGGGGTCGTAGAAGGCCGGGTCCACGTCAGCAGCTGGCACCAGCGACCCGACCGCGGGGGCAGGCACGGCGCCAGTGTCGGCGATAGGCGCGGGCACCCGCCCCCCTCCGTCGGCCGCTGGAGGCGCGCCAGCCCAGCCAGCCAGGTAGGCCTCGGCCCTCCGGCGGAAGGCGCTGGCGTCGGCGATGTCCCCAGGGCGGAAGGCGTAGCGGAAAGCCTTGTGCCCCGAAAGACGGTTCGGGATGCCACCAGCAACGCCACTAGGCAGCGCATCCTCGTAGTCCTCCAGCAGCTCCTCGTACACGTCGCCGTCGGGCGTGAGCACCACGTGGCCGCCGGCGGTGCGCCGCAGCACGAGGCGCTCGTGCCAGACCCCCTCCGACGAGTCGAACAGGGCCCAGAAGCGTCTCCCTGCAGCCACCGCGAGGCCATCTGCCATCAGGCGAAAGGAGGAGCTCCGCCTCCAAGCCTGCCGCGAGCTCCTGCCAGCAGCGTCAGCTGCTTGGTCGCCTCCAGGCCCGCGGCCACCACGAACGGAGAAGACGGTCTCGGCGGCGTCCACCAGCGGGCCGCGCACCAGCCCGTCACGAGCTGCCCCACCGCGACGGCGAGCAGCTGGGCGGTGGACCAGCCAGGGGACCCGCAGTCGCACTGGCAGCCGCAGATGGGCGCTGGGGGCGCGGAGCGTGCCAGCAGGCAGAAGGAGCCTATGGAGAAGGCACAGGCGACTGTGGACGGGTCGACCGGCATCCTTGTCCGGACAGAAAAAGGCTTGAGAGACAGTGTCCATGGCGATCGTCAACATTACCATTGACATTAGCACAACGACGACGACGACGACGACGACGACGACGACGACGACGACGACGACGACGACGACGACGACGACGACGACGACGACGACGACGACGACGACGACGACGAGAGGGGTCCCGCAGGTCGGGGCCTAAGTTTCGAGTACGGGATCGACTACACTTAGAAAGCCCAGGGACCGCTAAAGACTAGTGTCCCCCCGAAACGACGAGAAAAACCCTCCAACACCCTCCCGAAGCCCTCCGAATAGCCTCCTGGAGCCCTTCTGGAAGGGTTTCGGAGGGTTTCGGGGGATTTTCGCGACTTTCGGTCCCAATAGGGCCCCTCGCCAGGCCTCGGGACCGTCAAACAACGACTCGGGAGGAAAAGCCGGCCCTGGGGAATGGGTCGAGACTTCCGGGGACCGCGTACTGAACAAATCACGACACCTGTGTTTTGACGATGCGAACGTGTCCGGGTTTTTCGACGCCAGAAATGGGTACGGAAAAAATGGGCACAATGCCTTATCCCAAACCAACAGCGGCCGCTGTTGGGCAGGCGGCCTTCTGTCTCGAATGGACACAGGCCGCGGCGGCGCGGACAGCGAGTCCTGTTCAAAATGAACAGGAACTGCTGTTGGCCATCGTACCCAGTCTTTCTTCGGGAGCGGCCAAGAGGGGGGTGTCCAAGAGGGGGAGGGTGCAAATCATGACCGGCGGCATGTGCGCGGCCCAGCGGGGGGGCCAGGGACGTAATGAAATAAGCAGAGGCGCCCTGAAATCTGGGAAAAGTATGATGGCCCACGCCATGATGTCCACCCCCTCCTAAGTCATCACCCCCCTCTCTGCCGCCACCCGATTTCTGTACCTGTGTCCATCGTCCTGAAGCGTGTCCGGGTTTGTAGCCGCCGACCTGGCGCCTCAGGCCAGCACCCAGCGAGGGGGCGGAGTGCGCCCTCTCCGGCGCAGGGCCCGCCGCGGGCTCCCAGCCTCGCGGGGGTGCGCCGGAGGAGCCGCTCTTGGAGCGGAGGGCAGTCCGCAAGGAACCGTCCACAGGGACCCCAGCCCTGAGACCCCAGGACGTGGCCATGGACCTCTGGTGTGGGAGCGTCACGCTCTCCACGGCAAGACCATCGGAGTCCAGGAAGCCCAGGGCACCCTGGAGACAAGCAGGGGGTTATTCTTGGCATGCGACGGGCATGTCCACCACCACCACCAGATGTAGGACGGGGCGAGGCCCTCCTCCTCCTCCTCCTCCTCCTCCTCCTCCTCCTCCTCCTCCTCCTCCTCCTCCTCCCTTTCCTGCCTACGGTAGCGGTGGTGGTCGGCATGGGCCTCCACTTCTCGATGCCTCCTGCGCCGGGCGGCGCCGCCTCGCGCTTGGCGGGCTCTCGGGGGGGGGGGGGCGGGTCGAGGCGGCCTCGGGAGCTGCAGCCCGGGGCGGGCGAGGCGGGGCCGAATTGCCCGAGGAGGCGGGCGGCCCCTCGCGCGAGCCCCGAGCGGCACCCCGCCCAATGCGAAGGGGAGCGGCGGCGGGGGGGCCCTCGGCGCGAGCCTCGAGGCCCCGGAAGGTCCTCGGGGTCGACGCTTCGAGGTCCGAGGGCTGAGGTTCTGGACGTTCCGCCCCGAGGAGCGAGGGGCCGGCCAGAGGCCTGCCGATCGCGTGCAGCCACGACCCCGCGGACAGCACGCTCACGGTCGGCGGCGGGCGAGGAGGGAGAGCGAGAAGGAGGAGGCCTTCTCACAAGGCGGCGGGGCTGCTCAGGAGCCCCCTCGCAGGGTCTGAGAAGTCTTGGTCCTGCGTCTTCGGGGAAGGCTCACAGGAAGCTTCTCAGAAGGCTGGGGGGGACTTCCGGGCCTTCTGAGAATGCCTGCCCCTTTTCGCTTCCCCCCGGTCTACACTTAAAGTCGGGTATGTCCCTCCCTCTGCAGGAGGAATACCCAATAATAGTAAAACATAATTGTGGGACGATTTCATGGACTGTGTTTGGCTATGTTTGAGTATGGTGTTGACTATTTTTCATTCTTTCTTCGAAAATCCGCCTGCAGGAGGACATGCCCGACCTAAGGCAAGGGGCGCGGTTTTCGGGGGCCGCGGGGAGGCCAAACCCCAGCGCGCAAAACGCTCCTGTCGCATCGCCTGTGTGCCCCTGTGTGCCCCTGTGTGCCTCGGGGATCTTCTGACCCGGGTCAATCCAGACCCGGAACAACAGGAAACCAGAAAACTCGAATGCCGGAGAAGAACTGCAACGCGGGTCTTCTCAAACCCGGGTCAGCCAACATGCGCGGCCGCCTCGCGGCCACGAGCGGCTCGCTTACCCAGGTCAGCCAGAGGGGGTCTTCGCAGGATCCTGCAGGATCCGGGGCCCTGGCGGACCCCCGTTTGCATCGACCCCCGTCTCCTGACCCCCGCCAGAGTGACCTCTGGTGCGGGCACTGCCCGCACGAGAAGTCCCTCCGGCGAAAGGCCACCCATACGTGTAGCCGACCCCGACTCGCCACCGAGTCTCGGGCGCCCGGGTCGTGCCTTTCTGCGGTGCTGCATATTTTTCTAAGCAAGCGCGCGCCTCTACTCCCGAAGCAACTATTTTTCGGTGGGGCCTGTCCGCCTACAGGTGGATTTTGGATGACAAATCCTAACTGCACCAAGCATGCGCCAAAACATTTTTTTAAGTGGTAAAGTTAAAAATCGTCCCCAGAATATCTTTAGACTATTCTTGAACTTCCTTCCTGTAGAGCGACAGGCCCGACTTAATTCTAGGCAAGCGCGTTCCACTGCTCGTGAAGCAGCTGCTCGCAAATGGCCCGCATCCGCCGCGCGGGATCTACGATTCCCTACATCGAAACAGACGTGTGTGTTGCGGGCGTCTGCGAAGGGGCACTTTGCGAGTACAGGAACGCGCTCGATGATTTCCGCCACGTCGGATTTCCCCAGACGGGGGGGGGAGGGGGTCCGGCCACTCCTCCTGGCCCGAGGCGCGTGCTTGGGCGAGGGGGGGGGGAAGGGGCGAGCCCCGCAATGCTTGGAGGATTAGCAGGATTAGCAGCATTGGCGCAACCAGACTCCATGAGCGCAGGGAAGCCCAAACACTGGGCAGCCTTAGGCGTCGAGCCTGGGCCGCCCGCCCTCGGCTGAAAAACAGCAGAAAAAAGGGGCGCCCCGTGCCGCGGGGCCCCCCAGCGGACCCCAGCAGCCCCCACGAATAGGGCAGCCAGGGCCGACGAAACCCCAGGGCGGTGCGGGTCGCACTGGAAGCGCCGTGCGGCGCACCGCCCTGGGGGCCGGGGGCCCCGCGCGACAGCAGACGGGCCCCCGCCTCCCGCACCCCTCGCGCTCTCGGCGCTGGCGAGGGGTGCCTTCGCGCCGCGAATCGGGCGCGTGAGGCCCGCCTTCGCGCGCCGCACCCATCGCGCCCTCGGAACAGGCGATGGGTGGCGCGTCGCAGGCCCGAGGGAGCCAGCGCCAGCCCGCCCCCCGAGGGGACCCCAGGGGGAGGAGGGACACTAAGTAGAACGAGCTCAGGGACCCCGAGCCAGGGGGGCCTGGCAACGGGGGGCATCCCGAGTCCGCCCCACCTAATGCCCCACCCCACCCTAAGGGAGACACCCCCAGGGGGCCTGGGCGCCCAAGCCCCCCCGCCGCCCTCCGCCAGTCCTGCGGTTGGTCGCCGGCTCTATCTGTACCCCGCCGATACAGGCGGCGCCGACCACTTTGGGTTCCCCGGCTATCCCGATGTGCTCACCGGGCCCCCGGCTTATGCGGGGGGGGACGCAATGCTTGGAGGAGCGTGTAGACAGAAAGTCTGGGAGGCCTACAGTCTGGTTGCTGCAACTAGCCATCGCTCGGACGGCCATTCCCCGGGCATCTGTCGGTTTCGTGCGTGTTTTTTGCTTCGCAAGATGATCCAGGATGCTCCTCAATGGTCCCCACCGAGACAAAAAATGCACACGTCCGCGCGATGGGAAATAAAGAGCGCCAAGTAAAGAACGAAGCCCCTCTCTGGCCCCAAAAGCGCCTGTGTGCACGAGGACGGCTAGAAGAACAACCCTGGAAGGGCCCACGGAACATCGAGCACCTCCCGAACCCAAGCTGCTCCTTAGTTCAGCGACTTGGCCACGCACTGGCCCCAGCCCTCGCCCCCCCTGACCAGACATGCGGCGCCATGCTTATTGCAAGATCGGGGCCCCAGCAAGAAGTCCCCATCTTTTCCCCGGGGGTGGTTTTTCATTCCGACTCGTTTTTGGACGGCCATGGGCCCTGAGAGGGCCCACCCCGACCGAAAACGGCAAACAATCTCGCGCCGCGTTTGGGTTGTTTGTCCGGCCCGCCGCCCCTCGCCGAGCGAATCAGCGCTGGGCCGTTCCCGCCGGCGCTGCTCCCTGCTGCCCGTGCGGCTTGCAGGGGCTCCACCCCTGCCCGCAGCGCCTGCTGTCCACTGGGGGGTCGCCGTTGTTGCGGTTCACCTCCCGCTGCGCCGCCCGGGCTGCCGCCGGCGCCCCCCTCTCACTCCGGGTCGGCCCCACTATGCGGCTCGACCCCCGCCGCCCCAGGCCGTGATCAGACAAGCGCATTGCACTACAGCGCTCGCAAAGCAGCTACTCGCAAATAGCCTGGATCCGCCGCAGGGGATTGACGATATATTAGACAAGGGCAGACGTATGATTTTTAGGGCGTTTGCGAGTCGGCACTCTGCGAGTAGTGGAACGCGCACGGCGAGTGATGCTGTGCACGGGACCTCGGGCGGCCCGCCCTCTCCCGCGCGCCGCACCCGCCCCAAGAGCGCGCGTCGGCGCTGCAGCCCTTGTGGTGCCGGTGGGTTGGCCCTAGTCGCGGTCTCGCTACCCCGCCGCAGGGGCCAGCGCCACTGCGGATCGCCGCCACCTTGCCGACGCCGCCACACTGGACGGCTGGCTGGGCGCTCCCCCCTCGCTCTGAAGGGCCCCGCCCGTGCGTCGCTTGCACTGGGCGTCGCGTGACTCCCGCCGTGATGCCGTGCACCGGCTACGGAATGGCGCTCCTTCTCCCCCGCCGCTGCCCCCACCGCGCCCCGCGTCTGGAGTGCGCCGGCCGCCCCCTCAGCAGGGCCGCCGCACTCTCCACCGCCCCGGGCCCCTTGCAGCTGCTGCAGCGCCGGCCTACCTCTGCCGCCAGCTCCGCGCCGCTGCCGTCCACCCCTCTCCCGCGGGCCACCCGGTTTTCAGCCGCCGCCGCCGCCGCCTCCACCCTCTCGCTTGCCGGGCCACGCCCGCACTGTGGCTGCTGGCCTCCCACCCTGGGTGCGCTGCGGAGCCGCCCCGCAGCCGCTGCCCGCTTGGACTTCAGCCTGGCCGCGCCCATGCCCCACTGCAGCCCCGCTGCGTGGGTGCGCCGCCGCGTTTCCGCCCCTCCTGCGCTCCTGCGGCCGCCCCTTCCCCTTTTCCTCCCCTCTTGCACGTGGGCCAACTCGTGACTCCGCGCCCTGGTGCCGCTCGGACGGGCGTGCGGAGTGCCTCTGCCGCGCTGCAGCGTAAAACAGTTCAGGTCAAGCCCTCGGAACTGGGTCCGAAGAGGTGGGCTCGGATGATCACGCCGCGTGGCCGATACGTCACCGATGCGTCGGCGACGTCGGCGATGCATGAGCGACGTCGGCGTGGAGAAAGCGGGGCCCAGCATCGAGCCGCATCGCCGATGCATCGGCGATGCGGAGAGATGCTCCGACCCTTCTCTGATTCGACCCTTGCCACGATGCCCAGATTTAGGTCGGGCATGTCCCCCTGCAGGCCGATGTTCGACGAAGCATCCAAAAGATTCAAAAGACTCCCGCATGTTTTTGGCATGTTTTTTTTAAAAAAGGAACAAAAAAAACAAAAACAAAAAAAAATCTTGAAAAAATCGTCCCCACACTATTTCTTTACTATGTTTGACTATTCCCCCTGTAGAGGGACAATATTTACTTCAGCCTGGATTGGCGACGCGTTCTGGGCGCCCCCGGCAGCCCTCCGCCGCGCACTCGCTCCGCGCCGGCCGGGTCTTCCAGGGCAGCCCGCGGGGGTCCGTGCCCATCCTGGTCGGCTGCGCGGAAGAGCGACCCTGTGCGAGCATGCCCTCCGCTGCGCGTCGACGGCGGCCTGCTGGCCGCTGCGTGCGGCGCGGCGACGGCGGCCTGCGTGTGCGGGCTTGGCCCCGGAGCGCCCAGCCAAAGCCGCGCACCAGAGGTCACTCTGGCGAAGGATCGCTCGTACGTTCAGGTCGGGCATGTCCCCCTACACGCGGAGCTTGGGCGACAAGCTCAAAACTGTCCAAACATAGCTCAAAACTATTCCAACATAGTCAAAAAATCGTCCTCCGGCTATTCTTCGACTACTTTTCAATATCCCTCCTGTAGAGGGCCAGGCCCGATTCAATCGTACGCGCAGCCGAGCGAATCCTCGGCATCGGCGCGGCGGCCGCGCGCGCGGGCGCGGCCCGGGGCAGGAGGCGGTGGGCCCCCTCGCGGTAGAGCGGCCAGAACTCGCGCAGCTTCGCCCCGCGCCTGCCCAGGATCGCACCGCCGCCGCCGACGCCGACGCCGACGTCGACGCCACCTGCCGCCGCGGCCAACACCGTCGCCGTCGTCGTCGTCGTCGTCGCCTTCGTCGTCGTCGTCGTCGCCACAACCGCCACCGCCGTCGACGTCGCCGTCGTCGTCGTCGTCACGGCCGCTGCCGTCGTCTCCCCGTCGTCGTCTCCCCGTCGTCGTCTCCCAGTCGTCCTCCTTCTCTTCCTCCTCCTCTCCTCCTCCTCCTCCTCCTCCTCCCCTCCTCCTCCTCCTCCTCCTCCTCCTCCTCCTCCTCCTCCCCTCTTGCTCCTCCTCCTCACTCCTCCTCCTCCTCCTCCTCCTCCTCCTCCTCCTCCTCACTCCCTCTCAAGCCTACAGAGTGCCGAAAGCTCGGTGTCGTCCTCCGCGCCCCCGATGCGCCTCTTCTCCTCCTCGTTCGCTCTCAGCGACTCCAGCACGGACTCCCGCATCACCCACTGAGTGAGGCTGTGCTTCAGCCTCTTCACGGCGCACTTCTGCTCGAAGATGCCGCGAGCGTGCGCCTGCAGCATCCCGTAGGCCGTGCGCGCGTCATCATGTGCGCTGTCGAACTCTGCGACCTAGGAGGCCTCCCAAATGTGGTCCGAGTAGATGGCGTCGGAGGATCGCGCCGCATCGCAGATGCATCACCGATGAATGGGCGACGTCGACGTGGAGAACATCGGGCCCCACATCGAGCCGCATCGCCGATGCATCGGCGATGCGGCTCGATCCTCCGACCCCATCTGCTCGGGACCCCCTCTGGGAGGCCCAGAGACCTCCGTCATGAGCTCCGTGGTGAAGCGTTCCCGGTTCACGGCCTCGATGATCACCTCGGCTGCACGTGAGAGCGGCCCTGGGCAAGCGTGGCCTCTGGTGCGCGGCTCCTTGGGGGCCGCGGGGGAGAAGGGCGGGGGGGGGGGGGGGGGCAGAGGCGAGCGCGCCAGACGCCACTGCCCCCTCGCGTTATCGGCGATCGGGGGACCCCCGTGGGCCCGCACCAGGGGGTCACTCCGGCGAAGGGTCGCTCTTGCGTCTCGTCGATCGCCGCGCTCTCGTGGCCCAGCCGCTGCGCGGCGCCCAGGAGCCGGTCCACCAGGTACTTCGTGGCCGCGGTGCCCCTGTACCGCGCGCGGGACAGGAAGTCTATGCAGAAGCCTCTTCCGCTGGCCCCCTCGCCCTCGTGTCAAGTCGGGCCTGTCCCCCTATACAGGCCGCTTTTGGACGGAAAGCAAAAGATAGTCCAACACAAATACCCTGAAATATTCAACGATGGTCAAAACGTCGTCCCAAAACTATTTGGGGACGAAAAGCAAAAGATAGTCAAAAAACAAATACCCCGAAAGATTCAACGATGGTCAAAACGTCAAAACTGTGTTGGGACTACTTTTGAGCATTCCCCCCTGTGGAGGGGCTGGCCCGACTTAACCCTCGTGGGGGCGCGCGCGGGGAGGCCGCGCGAGGGGGGCCGGCGGCCGGCCAAGCAGCGGGGGGGGGGGCCTCTCTGGCAGCAGCGGGCTCCCCAGGCATCCGGCGCCCCGGATCTTGTCCGAGGCACGGGCCCCCGACCTCTCTCGGGTCGGGCAAAAGGGGGGGATAGCAAAGGGGGGTTTGAGAATCAGCTCGCGTAGCTGATTTTCCCGGCGCCTCCCGGCGCCGGAAGCAGCAATGTATCGAGGAATGGGCCCCTCGGTGGGGCCGAAACCAGCTGCATGCAGCAAATTTCGTAACCCCCCCTTTCCCAATCCCCCCCTTTCGCCCGGCCCGACCTCTCCAGAGGGCAGGGAATCCCCCCTCGGGGATGGACAGACCCCCCTTTGGTAAAACGTGGTTTCGTGAAAGCGACTTCGGGCCCAAACCTGGCGGGCGCAGGCCTGGAAAACAACGGCCACGGCGCCCTCTCGAGAGCCGAAAACGGACAGTTCACTAATCGACGTGTCACTGTTGGGGGCTCTGGCCACCCCCGACACCCCCACAAGATCACGCCGACACGCGAAGCCGTTCAGTGAGCGCACCCAAAAAAAAAAGAAATCGAGCAGGGCAGGAGTGTTTCGTAAACGCCCAGGGCCGTGTAGTCGACGCAACTTGCCGGGTCCGGTTGGGTCTTCCTCCCTTGACTCTTGACCACTCCCCTGGGATTAAGCCGGGCGTGTCCCCCATACAGGCGGATTTTGGACGGAAAAAATGTTCAACACATGCTCAAAACATACTCAAACGTGGTAAAAAAATAGTCCCCCGACGATTTTTGGACCACGTTTGAAGATCCCCCCTGTAGAGGGACAGGCCCGACTTCCTGGCTCTCCACCCCGAGGCGCTCGTGGACCGGCCCCGAGGCCTGGAGGGGTTCCCGGGCGGCCGAGCACGTCCGCTCGAGGCGCCAGGGAGGTCGGGCGGGAGGTCCTGGGGGGTTCCCAGACCCCCTCGCGGTGTGGAAAAAATGATCCCAGTGCGACCCTACCTAGGAGTTGGAGCCCCTAGGAAAGCAGCATTAGTAGTAACAGTAAAGATAAGCTAAAGCTAAGCTAAAGCTAAGCTAACACTAAGCTGAAATTAAGCTAAAGCTAAGCTAAGGCTAAGCTAAAGCTAAGCTAAAGCTAAGCTAAAGCTAAGCTGAAGCTAAGCTAAAGCTAAGCTACAGCTAAGCTAAAGCTAAGCTAAACATAAAGCTAAAAATAAGCTAAAGCTAAGCTAAAGTTAAGCTAAAGCTAAGCTGAAGCTAAGCTAAAGCTAAGCTAAAGCTAAGCTGAAGCTAAGCGAAAGCTAAGCTAAAGCTAAGCTAAGGCTAAGCTAAAGCTAAGCTAAAGCTAAGCTAAATCTAAACTGAAGTTAAGCTAAAGCTAAGCTAAAGCTAAGCTAAAGCTAAGCTAAATCTAAATCTAAGCTAAAGCTAAGCTAAAGCGAAGCTAAAGATAAGCTAAAGCTAAGCTAAAGCTAAGCTGAAGTTAAGCTAAAGCTAAGCTAAAGCTAAGCTAAAGCTAAGCTAAAGCTAAGCTAAAGCTAAGCTAACGCTAAGCTAACACTAAGCTGAATATAAGCTAAAGCTAAGCTAAAGCTAAGCTAAAGCTAAGCTAAAGCTAAGATAACACAAAGCTGAAGCTAAGCTAATGCTAAGATAAAGCTAAGCTAAAGCGAAGCTAAAGCTAAGCTGAAGCTAAGCTAAAGCTAAGCTAAGGCTAAGCTAACACTAAGCTAAAGCTAAGCTAAAGCTAAGCTAAAGCTAAGCTAAAGCTAAGCTGAAGCTAAGCTGAAGCTAAGCTGAAGCTAAGCTAAAGCTAAGCTAAAGCTAAGCTAAAGCTAAGAAAAAGCTAAGCTAGCACTAAGCTAAAGCTAAGCTACAGCTAAGCTAAAGCTAAAGCTAAAGCTAAACTAAAGCTAAAGCTAAGGCTAAAGCTCCCAGGGGACTGGGGGAACCGCGGGGCGGGGACTGGGGGAACCGCCCGGGGCGGTTAGCATTGCCCGGCCCTTTAAGCAAAGAGAGTAAGAACCCTTCTAGGCAGAGCCTAGGTAGGGAATCACGACGGGAGGTTTTTCGCTACTTTCGGCCTCCGGGGTCCCTCACTGGGCCTCGGGACCGTCAAGAAACGACTCGGGATCAAAAGCCAGTCCTGGGGAAAGGGTCCAGACTTCTGGGGGTCGACGTGTGACAAAAATCACGACGTCGGGGGTCTGGGCTTGGAGGCAACTGCTGGGAGGTTTTCGTCGGAAAGATTAAAGAAGATTGCGCCCCTTTTGGGAGCTATTCCGCCGGAGTGGGCCTCGGATGAAGCGGGATTAAGCGGGATTAAGCAGGACTAAGCGGGATTAAGCCGGACTTCGGAGCTGTGCATAATCAGAATTTGACCAATGGGGGTGACGCCCCAGAGATCCAACGCATGGAAAAAATCGAGACGGAAGCTTTGCACAAATTTCGGCCTCTGGGGGCCCTCGCCTCTAGAGGGGCGAGCCCAAGGGGGGGCGGGGGTCGCTCCCGATTCGGAGGCGACGAGAGGGGCGACTGGCCCAGGGGAAAGCAGTACGTGCATTCAGGGGCACCGATGATCTATGACTTCGAGAAGGCTCCCGGGAGAATGCGTGTAATGCCTGCCCCTGGGCTAGTCGCCCCTCTCGTCGCCTCCGACCCAATGCTACGCGCCCGAAGATGTCTGGGCTCTCAGACGCCCTCCCGGCGTCTGAGATGCATCCAAAGGGCACCTCTGGAGGCCCCGCCGGCCCAGAAGGTCATGGGGGGTGACCCCCATAGGGGGGTGAGGGTCGCCCCGCGCCAGCATCGCAGAGCGGATTTCGCTCGGAAGACGATCGGATGGGTCCGCGGAGTGTCCTGGAGAACTTCGTTTTGGATTTCGAGGTGAATGTCGTGTGGAGTCTTCTCGGCCAGGAAAAACGGATATGAACAGCATCCCCGTGACATGCACTTCGTTCTTCGCTCGCCGCTTCGGGGTATTTTGCACGGACAGAAACCCACGCACAGACCCGCTGCAGCACGTCTGCCTATAGGTCGCTGCTGCCTTCTCAAGACGCCCTCCCGGCGTCTGAGCTGCATCCAACCCAGACCCCCGACGTCGTGATTTTGTTCGCAACGTCGACCCCCAGGAGTCTGGACCCTCTCCCCGGGACCGGCTTTTCATCCTGAGCCGTTTCTTGACGCTCCCGAGGCCCGGTGAGGGACCCCGGAGGCCGAAAGTAGCGGAAAAGCTCCCGTCGTGATTTTTGTCGCAGCGCGGAGGGGGTCTGGGAATGGGCACCGCGGAAGGCCCCCGCCGCCCCGGAGAGCCCCACGCCGCCCCCGAAGGCCGGCCGCCCCCCCCCCCCCCAGCGCGCACGGCCCCCCGCACCCGCCCCCCGCAGGCCTCGGCCGGCTCGGCGGCACCGCCAGAGGGGCTCCTGAGCAGGGGCCGGGTCCCGAGGGAAGCGGGTCCTGGACGGACTCGAGTCGGGCAGGGCCCTCTGCACAGGAGGAGTCGTCAAGAAGAGTTGCAAGAGCAGCATCTGGTGGCCATGCTTCGTGCTCTTTTTGACTTGTTGTTCACTGTTGTTAAAGTTTCTCCCCAAATCCGCCTGTAGGAGGACATGCCCGACCCGACCTACTCCTGGACCCTGGGGCCTTCCCCTAGGACCAGGTCTGCCTCGGGAATCCTTTTCTGACAGGCCCGGGGCCCGTGGAGGGCCCCGAGGACCCCGAAAGCGGAAGAAGAAACCTCAGGACCCATTTCCCACAGGACCCGCTTCCCCCATTGGGGAAACCAACAGGTACCAACACCGCTACTCTCCAGTCCTCTCCCCGGGCGCGCTCTGACCAGGACTCCGAGGCGAATCCAACGGTGGCGACGAGGGCCTCCCGGGAGAGGGTAGAGGTAGGGGTATAGACCTTTCCCTCCTCTGACCCATGGCGAGGCGCCGGGGGCTCCCGTACGAGGGGTCCGCAGCGAAGTTCTCGGCGTGCCCGTCCTTAGTGGGCCCTGGACACGACTGGGCCGTTTTTGTTACCGGTTCCGTTTTGCCGTTCGCGTTGCCGGTTCCGACGCCGTTCTTTCACCGGTTCCGTCGACGTTCCTTTACGGGTTCCCGCTCCGGCTCCCATCCTGGAGCAGTTCTTGCTGCCGTTTCCGGTCGCCGTGTTTTTTTGCCGCTTCCATTTTCAAGGGGCACTTTTTCGGAAACGGTGAAAAAAAAGGCCCTGCCGTTTCCGGGGCCCACAAAGAGCACGAGGAGGGGGAGGAGAAGGAGGAGAAGCAGGAGGAGAAGGAGGAAGAGGAGGAGGAGTTGGAGAGGAGGAGGAGGGGAGGAGGAGGAGGAGGAGGAGGAGGAGGGGAGGAGGAGGAGGAGGAGGGGGAGGAGGGGGAGGAGGAGGAGGAGGAGGGAGAGGAGGAGGAGGGAGGAGGAAGGAGGAGGACGAAGGGAGGGGAGGGGAGGGGAGGGGAGGAGGAGGACGCAGGGGAGGAGGCCGAGGCTTCCGGGGCCCGCTGAGTGCCCGTCGCTGTCGCTGTCGCTGTCGCTGTCGGCGGGCACCCGCAGCGCGAGCGGCCTGCCGCCCTCCGCCCCGCCGGCCGCGCGCTCCAGCGCCCGCAGCCGGCCCGTCGCCTCCGGGGGGGCCTCGGCGGTGGCCTCGGCGGCGGTGCCTCTCCTCTGGGAGCAGGGAGAGATGCCCAGACCTCCTCGCGTTGTGAAAAAAACACGACGGGAGGTTTTTCCTAAGTTTCGGCCTTTGGGGCCCCTCACCAGGCCTCGGGAGCGTCAGAAAACGACTCAGGATGCAAAGCCGGCCATGGGGGAAGGGTCGGGACCTCTGGGGGTCGACGTAATGAAAAAATCATTACGTCGGGGGTCTGGGGATGGTGCCCACGCCCAGGGGTCCAACGCAGTGGGAAAATCGAGACGGAGGTCTTTCGCAGAGTGCGGCCCCCGGGGGCCCTCGCCGGGCCTCGGGGCCGCCAAAAAACGACTCGGGATGCAAAACGGGTCCCTGCATGGGGGATGGGTCGAGACTTTCCGGGGACCGCGCAGGGAAAACAATCACGACATCGCACCTCTGGGTGCCGCTACCCTTCCCTCGCTTTCGCCTTCTCTGGGCCTCCTCGAAGGCCCTCGTCGCCAGCGCTGACGTCGAACTTCTGGTCAGAACGCACCCCAGGATAGGTCCAGTCGGTGGCGGTATCGGTGCCCTTTGGCTTCCCCCTCCTCGGGGACCTCTGGGGGCTGCCGGCGCAGAGCTTCGCCATCAGCATGGCCTTGCGCCGCATCTTCTTCTGGGCGATGCGCACGTTCAGCCTCAGCTCCCTCCGCGACTTCAGGCTCATCATCCTCTCCCTCGCCTTCTGGACCGGGCTGAACTGCGGGGAGCAGATTGCGACGGCGACGACGTCGGCTGCGGCGGCGACGCCGACGAGGCGGCGGCGGCGACGGCAAAATCGGTCCCCGGACACCAGCTGAGCTCCTCCTGGCTGGCTGTTCCTCTTGGACCGATGTTTGGTTGCCCCGGAGCCCGAAACAAGCTCCCGATGACGAGTATTGCCCTCCCCCCCCCCACACACCCCTCCCTCCCCCCCCTCCCCCCTCGGGCGAGTTTCTCTTCATTTTCGGCGATAATGGGCATAAAAGGGTGGGGGGTGGGGGGGAGGGGCCGGGAGGGTAACTATAATGTAACGCCTACCCCTGGTGTGTGCCCGATGCGCACGGCAGCACTGCCCAGAGCGCACTGGGGGGGGAGGGGCGTTCTGTTCTAGGGGGGGGGAGTGCGCTGGGACGCAGGGGGAAGGAGCTTGAGAAGGGAGCGGGGAGGCGAGAATGGAGGGGGGAGCAGGAGAAAGAGGAGGGGTTGCAAGAGGTCCATCTCCTGGAGGAGGAGGAGGAGGAGGAGGAGGAGGAGGAGGAGGAGGAGCAAGAGGAGGAGGAGGAGGAGGAGGAGGAGGAGGAGGAGGAGGAGGCGGAGGAGGAGGAGGAGCAGGGAGGAGGAGGAGGAGGAGGAGCAGGAGGAGGAGGAGACAAGTTATCGTGGCGAAGGACCCAGCCAGATGCAGCTGCGCGTAACGCACGACAGATGAGAAGAAGGAGTGGGGCGAGCTAGAGGATGGGGACGTGGATGGGAAGGAAGAGGATGAATGATCGCAGGGGGGTCAGGAGCCATAAGTGACGGAGGTAGGGAAGCTATGGAGCTCTCTACAGCGGCACGAAGCGCGTGAAGGGCGTGCCGAAATGGGCGCGGCCACGCCATGCGAGCACCGCCGCTGGGGCCTTCAATACAGCTCACTGCGGAACCCTGGCCATCGCTCGGACGTCCATTCCCCGTGTTTTTTTTTTTTGGTTTCGTGCGTGTTTTTTTCCGCCAAGTGATCAAGGATGCTCCTCGATGGTCCTCGCCGAAGGAAAAATGCACACGTCCGAGCGATGCCAAGAACCATGGAAGCGTCCGAGGGGCGCCACGTGCCATTCGGGCCTTCGGTGGAGCTCCCCGTAGGGCCACGAAGCGAGCCGAGCTGGGCGGCGGGGACGCAGTCAAACCCTTCCACTGGAGCCTTCGCTGGAGCTCTCTGTGGGTCCACGGGGCTTTCAGGGGTGTGCCGAAATTTGCGGCGCGGACGCATACGAACTTTCCCACTGGGGCATTCGGTGGAGCTCCCTATGGGGGCACGAAGCGTGTGATGGGTATGCCGAGATGTGACTGATGACGCTGATGCTGACTCTGACGGCGAAAGATAATAATATGAAGAATAATACTGGCATGACACTGAAGATGAACATGATGATGAATACGATGATACCGGAGAAAAAAAACAATCCGATTTTTGTTGGGGCAATGGGGCTATATGGGCTATATGGCTATAGGGGTGTTGTGATATAGGGCTATCGGGCTATTGGGCTATAGGGGCTATCGAATCTTAGGGCTATAGGGCTATAGGGCTATAGAGCTATAGGGCTATAGGGCTATAGGGCTCTAGAGCTATAGGGCTCTAGGGCTATAGGGCCATAGTGCTATACGGCTGTAAGGCTATAGGGCTATAGGGCTACTGGGCTATCGGGCTATTGGGCACCCCCGGGCACCCGGGCACCCGGGCCTGGCCACTGAAATCGGCCACGCACCTCACCGGCCACCCGGGCACCAGGGCACCGCCGGGCACCGCCGGGCACCCGGGCCCGGCCACCGAAATCGGAGACAAACCTCACCTAACCCTTTAATCCGCTAGGACCCCTACAGAGGCAAGCTCTGATTGGGGAATGTATGTGATGATGCTGATGCTGATGCTGATGATGACGATGACGATGACGATGACGATGATGACGACGACGATGATAATGATGATTATTATTATGATGGTGGTGGTGATGGTAATGATGATGTTGCTGATACTGATGATGATGATGATGATGAGGAGGAGGAGAAGGATGCTGATGATGATGCTACTGCTGTTGTTGATGATGATGGTGACGAATGAAATGATGATGCTGTTGATGTTGATGTTGATGATGATGATGATGATGCTGATGATGATTATGATGAGGATGAAGATGATCATGTGATGCTGATGCTGATGATGATGGTGGTGATGTTGCTGCTGAGGACGAGAATGAGGATGATGACGATGGTGGTGATGATGATGCTGCTGCTGAGGATGATGATGATGATGATGATGATGCTGATGATGATGATGATGATGATGATGATGATGATGATGATGATGATGATGATGATGATGATGATGGTGGTGGTAACGACGATGAAAGTGAGAAGGGGGGGAGGAGCGGAGGAAAGGGAGGAGGAGGAGAAGGAGGAGGAGGAGGAGGAGACGAAGAAGGGGGAGGAGGAGAAGAAGGAGGAGGAGGAGGAGGAGGGGGAGGAGGAGGAGGAGGAGGAGAGAAGCGGGAGGTGGGAAGTGGAGCGGAGCACTGCGGATCCAAGTCAAGGAGCCAACACCACGCAAGGTCTGGGAAAACCTCTGGAGCCGAGAGGGGCCGAAGACCTCCTCGAACCTCGTCCCTCGCTTCCCCTGGCGGCCAAGGCCTGGGTCCCCGCGCCCATCGCGACCATGGCGTCGAAGAGGGAGCCTGGAGGGGGGGAAGGAGGGGGAAAGGGGAGAGAGGGGGGGGGGGGAGACGGCCAAATGAGGTCCGAGGGTGCCCCGAGGCTACGACGACGGCGACGACGACAGCGGTGACGAAGAACGACGACGGCGGCGGCGACGACGACGACGGCCGCGACGAACAACGACGACGGCGGCGACGACGAAGACGGCAGCGGCAACGAAGAACGACGACGGCGGCGACGACGGCGGCGGCGACGAACCACGACGACGGCGGCGACGACGACGACGAGCGAGCGAACCGGTGCTCGAGCGGCGCCGATCGGCGACCGGCTGCAACGACGACCGCGGGCTCGGCGGGGCCCGCCGCGCGCTCAGCGGGCTCTTGGAGCTCGAGCGCCGGCGTGGGGTGCGGAGGACCGGCGCGGCGTACCTCGAAGGGGGCCGCTCGCTCGCTCGTGGTCGTGGTCGCGGTGGTTGTCGCCGTCGTCGCCGTCGTCGTCGCCGCCGTCGTCGTCGTCGCCCCTCATTCTCCTCTCCTCCTTCCTCCTCCTCCTCCTCCTTCACCCCTCTCCACCCGCCCTGTCTATTTCCCCCCCTCATTCTCCCCCTACCTCTGCCCTTCCTCCCTTCTCCCTCTTCTTTCTCCTCCCTCCCCCTCCTCTTTCCTGCTCCTCGTCCTCGCTCCCTCCTTTCACTCCCCCTCCTCTTTTTCCTCCTCCTTCTCCTCACTCCTGTTCTCCTCCATCCTCTCCATTTCGAGGTACGACCTTTTTTCCCCTCACTTCCTCACTCTCCTCTCCTACCTCTCTCTCCTTTTCCTCCTCCCTCCTCCACCTCGCATCCGCTCCTCCCTTTCTCCTCCTCTTCCTCCCTCCCCTCCTCTAACCCCTCCCTCCTCCTCCTCCTCCTCCTCCCTGCTCGTTTTTCGTCCTCGCTCGCGAGCGTGAGTTTTATCAGGCCTAACCTGTCCTCTCCCTCCTCCCTCCTCCGCCTCCCTCCTCCTCTCCTCCTCCTCCTCCTCCTCCTCCTCCTCCTCCTCCTCCTCCTCCTCCTACTCCTCCCCCCCCCCCTCCCCCTCCCTTCCTCCTTTTCCTTCCTCCTGGCTCCTCCTCGTCGTCCTCTCCTCCTCCTTCTCTTTCTCTTCCTCCTCCTCCTCCTCCTCCTCCGCCTCCTCCTCCTCCTTTCCTGATCCTTATCAACAAACTTCTCCCTGTCACACCACGAGATCAGCTTTTAGAGCGGGCCGAGCGTTTCGCTTAAGACTACCTCACCAATTATGACCCTGAAGCATAAACGTTGACAACAACTTTACAGACTGAGGGCGGGTGGTTTTCAAAATGTTGCTCTCGCCTTAGCGCCGCTCACACTCGTTCTTACACAGTTGCAAGAATTTAACGGATTGAGGGCGAGTGGTTTTCAAAATGTGGCTCTCGCCTTCGCGCCGCGCACATTCGATTATATCATTTGCGAGAGCTTCACGGATTGAGGGCGGTTCCTTTTCAAGATGTGGCTATCGCCACGCGCCGCGCACATTCGTTTTAAACAGTTGCGAGAGCTTCACGGATTGAGGGCGGTTCCTTTTCAAGATGTGGCTATCGCCACGCGCCGCGCACATTTGTTTTAAACATTTGCAAGAGCTTCACGGATTGAGGGCGGCTCCTTTTCAAAATGTGGATCTCGCCTTAGCGCCGCGTGCGTTCTCTTTTCAAATTTACAAGAGCTTCACGGATTGAGGGGGGTTCCTTTTTAAAATGTGGTTCTCGCCCTAGCGCCGCGCATATTCGTTTATATTTTCACGGATTCCCATGAGCGACGTACTTGGAATTGTGTATTGGAAAGATTCAGAAGCTTGAGGGTGCAACAGTTACGTTAACTCGCGGTGTTGATGTCCTAGGGATGGCGTTCTGGTGCGATTCAGGATCGCAAGACGCAATAGTCTGGTTGATCCACGGCGTTGGAATACCGAGCACAATGTTTTGGCATGCGTCAGAATCTTCAAACGGTTGTCTTCCGACGAGGCTGTTCCATCAGTGGAAATGCATCGTTGTAGGGGCCTATGAAGAGGGAGCTTGGAGGGAGGGTTTATTCCAGCATCGTTGATGACTCTTGGGTTTACACTGGCCCTCCTCTGATAAAGACGAGGATGCGATGCAGGAGGATGAGCTGTTGCATGCGCGTTGGCAACTTGATGGTGTCGGCGTGGCTCTCCCATCTCATACATCTTACCGCATCGCACCTGTGAATCTTATAGCATGCACATCATACGGAACAGCAGCGCCGGCAGCGGAATGAGTTTCGAAATCACGGGGGGGGGGAGCGCACACGTCGGAAGATGCACCTCGGAAGTCCTGGACCCAGAGATCCGATGTCGTGATGTTTTCAATGCGCGGTCCCCAGAAGCCTCGACCCATTCCCCAGGACCGGTTTCTCATCCTGCGTCGTCTTTGGACGGCCCCGAGGCCCGGCGAGGGCCCCTGGTTAAGTCGGGCCGGTCCCTCTACAGGGGGGAGATTCAAAAACAGTCAAAAATTAGTCCGGGGACCATCTTTTGAGCATTTGTGTTGCCATTTTGGGGGTATCTTCTGACTCTCTTTTATGCTTCGTCGAACGTCCCCCATGTAGGGTGTAGGGGGACACGCCCGACTTAAGCCTAGGGGCCGACGTCTGCGAAAAGCCTCCGCCTCGACCTCCTCGGTGCGCTGGCTCTCTGAGGGGGCCCTCGTGCTCGCCGCCTCCGGGCCCCCGCGGCCCGGGAGCTGCCTCGGGACCCTGGCACGAGGGCGCGCCCTTCCCGGGGGGAGGAGGAGGAGGAGGAGGAGGAGGAGGAGGAGGAGGAGGAGGAGGAGGAGGAGGAGGAGGAGGAGGAGGAGGAGGAGGAGGAGAGGAGGAGAGCGGAGGACGAGGGAGGAGGAGGAACGAGGGAGGAGGAGGAGAAGGAGGAGGAGGAGGAGGAGGACTTTGGCCTCCGAGAGGCGGGGGGGGGGGGCTGGCCTTCCGCTCGGGCCTCCCACGGCACTGCGGATAGGGCCTGCTGGTGTGGAGAGCGGCACCCTTTGGGGGCCATATGCAGGACGGGGCAATGGGGAGGATGAGGAGGTCCTCTTCCTCCTCGTCCTCCTCCTCCTCCTCCTCCTCTTCCTCCTCCTCCTCTTCCTCTTCCTCGTCCTACATCTGGTACGTAGTGGTGGTGGAAAATGGGCCCATCACCCTTGATGGGACGCGCGCAGAAACATACTGGTACAAAATGTCTCCCTTGGAGGCGCGCGTCCGACCCGAACGCATCGTATACTCATCTTGTGGTATTTTCCCAGCGGTGTGGCCAGAGAGCGCCCGCCAGGACGCATACACTAGAAGATTTCTCGGTGTGCGTGTCGCCCCTGGGGGTGCGACGCACATATAATATAAATATGTTGGGGTGACGCCGGCTTCACTCATTCTTTGGGGAAGCTGCGAAACAAAAAAAAAAAAAAAAAAAAAAAAACGCTCGGAAACGTTCGCGGTCGGATGCTTCAGATACGAAGCGCGAGGAAAAGGAGCGAACCATACACGCCAAGAGCAAGATCGAAGCGGCAAACTCGCGCGGAGCCTCCCAGAAACGGCGAGTGACCCTGGGATCCGACGCTGCCAAGAAAATTGCCACAGGCCTAGGCCCAGCGCTCACGACAACACCCATCATCAGCATCACCATCTCTCACAGTGACGACTGGAGCGCCAGACCCCATCTCTCTGCGGCATTTTCGAACCGGATCGGTGCGCGATGCGCCCCAGCAGGGCCCGAAACCGGGCGAAAAACGCCAGGCGTGAACAAGAAAGGCGCCGCCCGGATCTCAGGGAAGGGCGAGAGGCGCGCAGAAACTTCGAGACCGGATTCCGAAGCTGACGTGTGCTTCTGCTTGGTGGCGACATCCGAACCCTACCCCCGCCAACCATCGATTCTCCTGAATCGATGGGAGGCGGGAGTAGGGTTCGGACTACGCCACGTGATCGACGAATTCCGAACCTACCCCCGCCGCACATCGAGCTGCCCGAATCGTGGATCGGCGATGGGGCAAATAAGGGGCACCGACACCGCTACTCCCTGGACCGCTCCCAGGGTGCGCTCTGACCAGGATCTCGAGGGGAATCCAGCGGTGGCGACGAAGGCCTCCCAGGAGGCCCCCAGAAAGAGGAAAAAGGGCGAAGGGCAGCGGTATGGGCACCCGTTAAAGGGGCCCAGGGCCACACATACACACACACACAAACAACTACACACTAACCCCATGATTCAATATATTTTCCCACAGATTATGCGTTTTTGTCTTCCCCCCCACTTCCCATGTTTTCTCGCATTTTCCTGGGACGATGAACTGTGTCTCTGTGAATGTTTCCCCTCCTCAATGCGGCGGGATCGCGGTCGGACCTGACCCGCTGCGGCACGCTCGCCGAGAACCGCGTCCTCCCCCCCTCCGAGATCGGGGCCCCCGGGGCCGCGGGTAGGGAGGAGGAGGATGATGATAATGAGGAGGAGGAGGAGGAGGAGGAGGAGGAGGAGGAGGAGGAGGAGGAGGAGGAATGGCTGAATGGCTGAGAAGTGCACACACGTGCGCCCGCGGGGGGCCCAGGCTGGTCCTGACCAGCCCTGGACCCCCCGACCGTGACGAGGCCCTCGGAGACGCCGAAGTAGAGCAGCGTCACCTGCGGCCGAGAAGCTGGGCCATGACCTCGGGAGAGAAGGGGGAAGTGCCGTCCCGCTCGGCCTTCTCCAGCAGCTCCCGGCAGCGACCCTTCCTCTTCGGCACCGCGACAGCCTCCGAGACGCCGTCGCCCAGCGTAGCGCCTGCACACGGCGCCAGCGAGACCTGCGCGTCCATGCACTCCTCAGCGGCAGCGCCGCCGCGCGCCTCCCCCTGCGCCGCGTAGGAGGCATCCGACACCGCACCCTCGGCCGACTTCCAACGCCGTGCATCACAAGGGTAGCTGCACGCCGCCGCCGTGCCAGAGCTCCGCGACGGCTCAGGATGAGCCACGCAACGAGCAGCCACCTCCGAGTCCACGTCCACGCTCTCGCTCCCGCTGATCATGGAGTCAGTCACCTCTGCGCCTGGCATCGGCGTCTGCGAGACCTGCGGCTCCGCGAACTCCTCGGCAGCCTCGTCGACGCTCGCCTCCCCCTGCACAGGTTGAGCCATGCGCCGCCCAGCCAACTCCGAGTCCACGTCCCCGCTCTCGCACTGCTCGGTGCCTTCGTCGGACTCCGTCACGCGCGGCATCTGCACAGCGGGGGGCGGGCTCGGCGCGAACACCGTGGTACCGCAATTGCAGCGCACGCCCACAACTCGGCAGGCCGCCCGCGGCACGAACGGCATGGCCTCAGCCCGCATGCCACTCGCCGCATGCCCCAGACGGGGACCAGCCGCAGCCGAGGACAGCGCCGCCGAGGAAGCCGCCGTGAACCCGCCAGGCGGCACGCGGCGCGCATGCCAGGCAGTGTTCCGCCTGAGCCGCATCACACCAGTTACACGATCCCCTGCTGCAATCTTCTGCAAAGCCGGCCTCGACGCACGCTCGCGGTCCACCCACGAGCCCGGGGCGCCCCGTGCCGCAACCAGCGGCCGCAGTGCTGCTTCAAGAGCCGCGCGACCGCGCCGTCGAGCAGCACGCCTCGCCGCGGAAGCGCCGAGGGAGTCCGTTTTCATGATCCTGATCACACTGGGCCGCCACATCAGCGGGCAGCCCCCCGCAGCCATCCAAGGCGCGCCCGCCGCCGCCGCCACCGAGCCGCCGACCATGGGCGAAAAGGCAGCGGAGAAAGTGGGGAACACGGCTTGAGCCAAAATGGCTACGGAGGAGGAGGAGGAGGAGGAGGAGGAACTGAGGGAGAGGGGAGGGAGGAGGAGGGGAGGGGGGAGGGGGAGGAGGAGGGAGGAGGAGGGGAGGAGGAGGAGGATGAGGAGAAGTAGGAGGAGGAGGAAGGAGGAGAGGAGGAGGAAGTGAGGAGGAGGAGAAGGGGGATGGGGAGGAGGCGGAGAGGAGGAGGAGGGAGGAATGAGGGAAGAGAGGAAAAAAAAGTGAGAGAGAGGGGAGCAGCAGGAGATGGGGAGGAGGAGGAGAGGAGGAGGAGGGGAAAGATGAGGAGGGGAGGAGGAGGAGGAGGAGGAGGAGGAAGGAGGAGGAGGAGGGTGAGAGGAGGAGGAGGAGGGAAGAGGAGGAGGAGGAGCGGAGGAGTAGCATGATGTATTTAGTAGTAGTAGTCATTAGTAGTATTAGTGTAGTATTATGTAGTTAGGAGAGGAGATTTCCGGTCTGGCGCTTGCCGCCGACTGTGCTTCTTTCCTCTCGTCTCCTTTCTGCCCGCCCGGCGGGCTCCGCTCGTCCGTGGAGTTCTTGCTCGCCTCGCGCCGCGCCTTGGGGGGAGGAAGCCGCCCGTGCGCCCGTGCGAAAAACACACACAGAAACACACACACACACGACACAAAACATACACACGGAACAAAACACACAAACAACACAAACAACACACACACACACAAAACACAGAGAGATGTGTGTGGAAAAAAACTGACTGTGTGTTTTGTGTATGTATTTTGCCCGCAAATTTCTGCTGCGTTGCCTTGAGATTGTCTATTCATCTTCGTGGGTTTTTTTCTACAGATGCCGACCCTGGCCGGGCGCCCGTGCAACACACTCAGGCGCCCGAGCTATCTGGGGGTACAACTCGGGCCCGGGGCTGATACTTTGAGTTCGGGTTCCCGGAACATGAAACCGAGTTAGCCCTGACCCGCGTTACCCCTGATGATTCGGGGCTCTGGACGGCCGAATGATCCGGGGTAGCTCGGCTCCGGGACAACTCCGGTTCGGATTCCCGGAAACGAGCCCGAGTCAGCCCTGACCCGAGTTACCCCTGATGATTCGGGGCTCTGGACGCCCGAATGATCCGGGGTAGCTCGGGTCCGGGGCAACTCGGGTTCGGACTCCCGGAAATTGAACCCGAATTAGCCCTGACCCGAGCTACCCCTGATGATTCGGGGCTCGGACATACGGCGCCTGGTCCGGGGACGCCAGAGCAGAGGGACAAACAGCGGTATGAACAGACCGTAGGATGACGATGAACCACAGCATGTGGGGGGGAACGATTGGATCAGAAAATTTCCGGG